GCCTCCTGTTCTACGTTCCTAGGAAGCAAATGTGATCCTATCTGTGCTGTGTGCAGTGAAAGTATCCCCAGCCTTGAAAAGCGTATTAATGTTTGATGGGTTAAAATAGACTCTTCTGTAGTCAATGCCTGGGTCTGTGCCCTTTACTTAAAAGTGTAACACCACAAAGTGTAGAGAGTAGAGTTTGGCTTCACTTATGAATTTCACACTCTTTCACTGGGCCAATTTAAAACCTCCCTCAAACCACTCACACACAATTTAGACATAACTTATCTTTCCTCGGCAGCGGGAGTAAACGTGCATTCTGGAATGTCATCTGAGGGTAGGGGAGTGAGGAAGAATAGCTGTTTTATGGCATTTTGTGGGTCTAGGCTGCAGGATGTGCGGCTCTATTTGATCATCCCCTCATTCTAGATAATAATATCAGCCACTGACTGTTTCCTGCATTAAGTCTGTGAACTTAAATATAGTACAGGGCACAATGTATATTTAAGAGCTGAATTACCGAATTAAATAGGCTTTTTCTAATTTCCTTTGAGTTGTAATATGGGTAGTTCTGTAATTGATCTACAAAGACCTTCCGTTCAGTTAATTTTTAAAAGGTAACCAAGTTCCTAAGCAAAAAAAAAAAAAAGTTACCAAGGAGAGAGGTGAGTTAAAAATTTACTCATAAATAGTAATAGTTTGCTAGAACAAGTAATCATTCTGGATTTTGCATAAGTATCCTTCAAACATTGACAGTCTTCATGATTTTCTTCATTTCACTTGCTTAGTAGTCATTAAAATGTTCCAGGAACATCTTGCCACTTTTCTCAAGAAAATGGCATCTATAACTCAACACAGTGTTCAAAGGATCTTTAACTCATTTGTATTACATAAGGTTTTGTCCCAATGGTAACAATTATAAAAAATATTCAAATTTTAGAGATTGTGAAAAGATATTGAGAAATCAAAATAAAAATTATCATTACTCTTTTCAGTTCTCGTTTATTTAAACTGAAAGATACAAAGATGCTGATATCCAGCTATTTATTTTTATTCATGGCACAAGAAACTAGGTAGTTAACAAGTTTTCTTTTTTTTTTTTTATTGTAGAAACTATTGAATTGTGTTTTAATTCATAATAGTTAACCATTCAAACTTTAACTTTAATGATTGCAATTGATTATTTGACCATTTTTCCAGTCATCATGGGTGGAACAGAGAGGGAAACAAATCATATAAATAACTTAGATCTACTGATAATCTTTTAAGGAAGTAGTTAATTAACTTTTCTAACTCCTATTAGCTGCTTTATAAGAATTGAGGGATTTAGGATTAAAACCCTGTTTCTATTCCCCTTCTTTCCCCTGGAGGTAACAATGTACTATACAATAAGCAATATGGTAATACCGCTTCCACTGTTCACATAGCTTTTATTAATGGCATCATTACATGTGCCATGCTGTCCTCACCTCTCCCTCTCTCTCCCTCTGACATGCTCACACTCACACGCACGTGCATATAAAGCACACATGTTTATGTATAGTAATTATTATCATTACTTTTCATTCTGAATA